AGACGTTAATCTTTGCTATGCTATCTCCCCCTATACACAGACATATGACGTGCATCTTAAATCACCAGCGACCTCTGACCCGTCAGGATCTATATCACATTGTTTTAGATGCTAGTAAACCTCATTTTTTCTGGGTAATCATTTAGGGTATGTCTACACTACCACCCTAGTTCGAACTAGGGTGGTTAATGTAGTCATACGAACTTGCAAATGAAGCCCGTGATTTGAATTTCCCGGGCTTCATTTGCATGTTGCCGGGCGCCGCCATTTTTAAATGTCCACTAGTGCGGACTCCGTGCCCGGGGCTACACGCGGCACGAACTAGGTAGTTCGGATTAGGCTTCCTATTCCGAACTACCTGTACTCCTCGTGGCTTCATTTGCAAGTTCGTATAACTACATTAACCACCCTCGTTCGAACTAGGGTGGTAGTGTAGACATACCCATCTATAGTAGCCCAATGTCTGTGACTCTGTAACGCTGAAATGCTGGCTGTTCCCTCTGGGCAGTGCTGTTGCCTCCCGCTGTGGATCTCGGCTGACTTCTGCACCACTCAGCCGGGCCGCCGCACGGGAGCAAGCAGCACAAGCGGCTGTTTGGGGTCCACGCTCCCCATGCAGCATGGGGATGCCGGGAAGTGAAGTGCGGTGTGACAGTGGCTCCAGGACTCACCTCTTGGCCATGAACATTACTGCCCCGCCCCCTTCGCCTCCCGCCGTGGCGCTTGGCTGACTTCTGTGCCACTCAGCCGGGCCGCCTCGCAGGAGCAAGCGGACATTTGGGCTCCGCAGTCCCCCAAGTGAGAGCTGAGAGAGAGGGGAGGGGCAGGCAGTAGGCAAAGGAGAGAGAGAGAGAGAGAGAGACGGACGTGGAGGAGAGACCTGAAAATCACGTCTTATGACGGGCTATTGGCTAGTGATAGTATATTAACCTGGTACCATGCCAGTCTAAGCATTTCTGTTTTGGAGCTAACGGTCCACAGCTTGTGTTTGTGGTAACCATTTCACCACTGCTCCTCAGAGGATCCGAGTCTATGACAGCTCCCATCAACAGCACTTGGCTCATTAATTCAAGCTGCAGTATCGGAGAAGCCCTGGGTCTAATCCCCAGTGTAAGACCAAAGACAGCAGCCAACATATCATCAGTATTAGCATCTGCTAATGTCAATGACCGAGCAGGAGGAAATGGGAGACTTGATGTCCACTGAATCGCCTAGGCATCATTCCAAGTGGCAATCAAAGATCAGAATAAAAGCCCCGTCTAGTACTTCGGAGAGTCTAGGGCCAGGAGGGACCATTGTGATCTTCTAGGGCAGTGGTCACCAACCAGTCGATCGGGATCTACGGGTCGATCTTGGCACCTCTGACGGGATCCTGACGGGTTTGGCCACGAGGCTGTCAGGTGCCAGTATTTCAGCTGCCCCTCCTCCCACTGCTGCACTTCTCCTGCCCTTTGCCTTAGAGCTGCCCCTCCCAAGGAGCCTCCTGCTTTCCGTGCAGGGCAGGGGAAGGAGAGGAGGGTGCTGATGTCAGGGTGCTCCCTCTCCAACCCCTGTAGCCTGTCTCCACAGAGCAGAGTGGGGGGAGCACAACAGGGCTTGGGATGGAAGGAGTTTGCCAGCTGCTTTTGGGAGCGGTGCAGGGCCAGGGCGCCTTAGCCCCACTGCACCACCACCTATGAGCCATCTGAGGTCAGCAGTGTCCAGCAGGAGCCAGCTCCTAACCCCTGCTCCAGTCATGAAACCCCTCCTACACCCCAAGCCCCTAACCCACGCTCAGCTCAGAGTCCCTCTCACACTCCAAATCCCTTGGCCCAAGACCAGAGCCTGCGCCCCAACCCTCAGCCCCTGCGTGGTGAAAGGCAGGGAGAATGGGGGAGGGAGGGAGGATGGAGTGAGCAGGGCCAGGGCCTCGGAGAAGGGGCAGGAAGGAGGCTGGGACAGGGGATTTGGGTTTGAGGTAGATCCTGGATTGCACTTAAATTCAAAAAGAGACCTTGTGCTTCAAGAGGTCGGGAACCCCTGCTCTAGTGTCGTGTGACCTCCTGCAAGGACACGGGCGTTCGCACATCCCCGATTTCATTCTGTTTGAACTACAGCAGACCTTTCCGAAAAACGTCCCAACTTGATTTCAAAATTACCTGTGATGTGGAACCCACCGTGACCCGTGGTCAATTGTTTCCAAGGAGTTTTGGAAGGGCGGGAGGAAGGGCGCCAGCCACGCCCACCGGGCCATGACTAGCTTTTCATCCCATTCCCCGGACTATCAGGGAGCGAGGGGAAAGTACTTGCATTTTGTGCGTGCCTCTCACACCTGGCTAGTGAAGGGAGGGGCAGAGGGGTAAATCACGGAATGCAAGCACTTTCCCCTCGCTCCCTAATAGTCTGGGGAACGGGGTGAAAAGCAAACCCCAGCCCGGCACACATGGCTGCTGCCCTCTGCCCTCCTGAAACTCCGCCCTCGATTGTTTCACGGGTGAATTACCCTCACTCCGTTTGAGTAAATGTGGAGGAGGCCTCCTGAGTATCGAGAAAAATCATGCTCCTCCTATAAACAAAATAATAAACTAAAAAATGTCAGCAGCTCCCAACGCCTGTCTATGGCCTGCCCTTGGAAAACAGACAGATTATCACAGGACACTGCGACTAGCACAATCTTTTACCTCCATCAGACCAGTAGCAATGGCCTCCCGCTCAGGGTACCTCTCTCTGGAACAATCCAGTAAGTGGGAAGTGCCTTACCTCCCCATTGTTCTTATTAAGGGGCAGTGCTTTTTTGTGTTTAAAAAAAAAAAAAAGGTGCCAGTACTCATTTCTTCAGGAAAGTAAATTTGAAAAACGCCTCTCCCACCCGTCTTCTTACTGCGTCCCCTAAACCCTTTTCTACTGAATTTGTGATAAACTTTTATCATCATGTTGCAATAAATAAAAATTGTTGAAATAAAAAATCAAAACAAGACATTTGTATAGGCCGTTTATTACTTTGATTTTAAAGAATTAATCTATGAAAACATCCTACATTGAGTTTCATCTCACTGTTCCCGCAGAAGGAGTCAGTCAGGCTGGGGGCTGTGCCGAGGGAAAACGATGCAGCGCAAGTGTTCCAAAAAAAAGGTGCCGGTACGCCGTACTGGTGCGTACCGGCACAGAAAAAGCACGGCTAAGGGGTCCCATTCAGCTCTGGGCAAAGGGTCAGCACAAAAACCAGACCCAGAGCTGTACTTGGGTGCATTGCAGTTGCATGTTGGTACAACGAGGAGTCCTGCGGCATCTTAAAGATGGACAAATTGTTCTGGGTACAAGCTTTTGTGAAACCATCTGGCAGAATGGGGTTTTTTACCCATATACGCTGATGTCCAAGTAAATCTGCTAGTCTCTAAGGTGCCACAGGACAACACGTTATTTTTGCAGATGCAGACTAACACGGCTCCTGCTCTGTGTCTTGTCTCCTTTAGAAAGCAATAGGTTCCACAAGCTAGGGAAGCAGGATTCTCTGATGTACTTGCAGCACTTCCCACATCAGGGCCAGCCGGGCGCACTGCATTCCCTCCCCACTGCCATGAAAACAGACATCAAAAGGCAGAACTCAAAGCTGTACTGTGCATGGCAATGCAGGGCCCATTATGGCAGCATCTAGGATGAAATATTAGCTCATTTCTGGCTTGGAAATTACATCTTATTGCAAAACTGAAAATGGAGATTCAAAGGTTTAGTCTCTCTAGGTGAAATTCGTCCCTGCATGGCTGGCAATAACCAGGGCTAGGCCTCATGTAAGCCCTACTCTGTAGGCTTCAGTGAGATTTCAGTGGTTTACAGCTCTTGAAGGCTGAAGTGGAGTTAGCTGGTGCCTAGGCCTGGATGATCTTTTCAGAGGTAAATTTCACACCTTATGGGACAACCGATCACTTTGCTTACTCCACCCAGGAAGTCACCAAGGTGTCTGTAAGTGGCTTCACCCAAGGTCTACACACCAGATAACTCTACTTAAGCCTTCAAGCCACTTGGCCCTTGTCTATTCTTACCTGGAGATCAATGCTCTGGAGTTCAATCTTCCGGGGTTTGATTTAGCAGGTCTAGTAAGGACCCAGTCAATCAACTGCTGATGGCGCCCCCATCAACTCCAGTATTCCACAAAGGCTCAAGGAGTAAGGGGAGAAAACAAAAGAGTTTCTCCCATCAACTTCCCACAATGGAAATTCAACATAAGGAACATCAACTCCAGCTACACTATTCTTGTAGCTGGCATTGCGTGTCTTAAGTCGACTGTCTCCTTAAATATAGACCTGGCCTTAGATGCCAAGATGACTGATATCCTTGCCTCTCCCACCCTCAGAGCCAGCCCTATCTTGCGAGGAGTATCATTCTAGGGTTGCACTCTGCTGTGCTCCCAGCCACAAAGACCCTGAGGCTGTCTCCCAACTCAGAACCCTGCATTGCAGATAACTTCATCTGCATTGGCCAGAAAGTATGGAAGAAAACACAATGCTTTCCCCCAGAGTGCTGCATGAACTATGAAGCCATGTGACACCATTAAAGCCAATGAGACCTGTGCAGTTCCAATCTCCCCCCCCCCCACTTTGAAAAGGAGAAAGTCAGAGCTCTGTACGTGCTCCTTTGCTATTTGCGATGTACGTACGTGGTAATTGGTGGCCTGTAATAAATCTAGGCTAATCTCCGAGTGTGTTTTCCCACTGGGGTTTGGTGCTGCAGTTCACACTTCTGATTTAGTCAGACGCCAGGGGTCTGTACCGATATTAGCAAACGGATTTAGTTCATTCGTCATCTCGCTGGTACTTGGGATTCTATATTCTGAGATGTTTGGGCTTGGCAAACAAATTAGCAGAGACCAGTCTCATTAAGAACCCACAGAGCTACCTAGCCCCTCTAGCAATGGGAACAAGGCGCTGACTGCTCTGCCTTCAGATCCCCAGCCCTGCACCGCATGGGATACAGTCTCTACAACAGCTACAAATTAAACCTTTCCTTTCTTTTCAATCACGCAGCCTGGCGGCATCCAAAGAAGCTGAAGCGGCAGCTCGGTCTGCTCCGAAGCCCATGTCCCCATCGGATTTCCTGGATAAGTTGATGGGCAGAACCTCAGGCTACGATGCCAGAATCAGACCAAATTTTAAAGGTAGGCACCAGCCAGCTATTTTATTTTGTTTGCTTCAGGACACTGTTTACATGCCACCCCGTGAATGTCTTCCTGGTTGGAAAGGAACTACACGGACTTCATATGTATCGTGACAACGCTCCCACTCAAACTTGGTGGGTTCTGCACTTTCAGGCAGATTGCTTGCCTCAGAGGCTCACAATAGCCCTCAATTTAGGTACCACACCTAGGGCATCAGCTTGCTATTTGTCGAACTGCTCTCGTCATTGGGCAGCATGAGGTACAGAGGGAAACCAAACTCCACAGTCCTAGTGGACCCCCATCCCAGATGACACAGCACTGGATAAACCCCTTTCTTTTCCCCAGCCAGTCTTTTCCCTGAGTGGAAAATGGGGAGCGCCTGGCGGGCGGGACCCATGCCCATCTACTCTGGGTTCCAGTTCAGAGTCCTGTAAAAGCAGCTGTCAGTAAATGTCTCCAACACGAGTTGCGAGACAGCTACAAAACCCTGGGCTACTTCCCCACACCTTCCCCAGCACCTTCCTAACCTCTGGCTCTTCCCTCCTGGTACCTGCTTGTACTTGCTCCTCCTAGGTCCTCTGCAGAGCTCCCTCTGTCCTCTCAGCTCCCCACGTGCTAACTAACTACTGGGAAGCTCTTTTTAACCCGTCTCAACTGGTTCTTTAATTGGCCCCAGGTGTTCCAACTAGCCTTAGCTCACTTGACTCTGGAAGCCCATTTAATTAGCTCCAGGTACTTAATTGCCCTGATTGATTCCAGCAAGTTCCCACTGGTTCTGGACTAGCCCCTGCCCGTTTATACTGGGAACAGAAATTTACTCAATCTAAGGCTAACATACCTCCCTTCTCACTCTCTTGGACCCCTCTGGCCTGACCCTGTCACAGTGTACAACATCTTCCATCCTTTGGGACCTTCCAAACGTTCTTTACTCATTTGTTATCACACCGTTATATTGGAAACAGTTCATTTGCAACTGAAATGCAATTGTTTCTGGGGTGAAATATAATGACCGTACAACCAGAAACACAGTAAAGGTAGCGCACAAAGGTGAAAATAACATCCCATTGAAATTGCAGAGATGGTCTCGGGGAGCAAAATATTAATACTTTGGCTCGTGGGATTATAACCAAACTGCCCATCCCCATATTATGAAACAAGAAAGGGGACCTGTCTGGATGCCAAACTGATGGAAGCAGGGGATCCTGGAACAGAACGGTGTCTCTTTATACAAAGGTTGTAAACTGTGGTGTTGGAATATATATGGTGAATGGGAATGAAATGACCATAGTATTTCATAAACGGTGGGGAAGCCATAAGAGAGTGACATTGGTTGTCCCAAATAAGTACTGACAGAAGTCTTTAGTCCCCACTTCTTCCTTATTCATGTCAAGCATCACCCATGTCAGATCTGTCACATTACAAAAATATTATAGATCTTTAAAAACATTCACTGGGATTATTTTTTTCACATTCCACCTCTTGTGAAGCCAGGGGCCTTGGTTACAGAGGACAGGACTAGGCTCCAGAAATACCCCCCCGTCATGAATCTCAGAGCTCAGGTCAACTGACTCAGGCTCGTGAGGCTTGCAGGGTTGACATTCAAGCTTGCTGCAGAGCCCAGGTGCTGAAATCCAGCAAGGCGGGTGGGTGTCTGTCCAGCCTGAACAGGAATGTCTATGCTACAGTTTTAGCCCCGTTGCACATGCTCCTCCAGACTGAGTTAATTGACCTAAGCTCTGAGACGCGGCGCTGCTGTGGGTGTTTTTTGTGGTGCAGACATGCCCAGAGCGTCTGTCTGAACAAAGCTCCGAGGGAGCCCTAAATATGTCTAAAAAGGACTTCAAATCGTTTTCTACACATGACAACGTGGCAGCTTGAAAACCCAGCAGCCTGGGGTTTTCTAGGGCAAGGAGTGACAGCTGGGTCCATAGGGAAGCTCCCTTTCCAAGGGGATAAAGTCAACGTTTCTAGCTCTGTAGCATACACAATTGCAGCCACTAAAGTCACCATGTTTTTATAAAGAGAAAAGACATCAGTGACGTAAAGCTTCATCTCTCCTCTCCTAGGCCTCAGCCACCTGGGGTGAGGCACTTATTGTTTTGGTGAGGAAGGGAGAAATTCCACATCAGGGAAATAAGAAAAACTGCCTCTGGGTTTGTCTCCATTCCACCGAGGATCGACACTGCAGTAATCGATCCACCAGTGGTCCATTTATCATGTCTGCTTAGACACAATAAATCAATCCCTGAGCACTCTCCCATTAATGCCAGTACTCCACCAGAACAAGAAGAGTAGTTGGCATTGATGAGAGAGCAGTCCCCACTGACCTTACCACATGCAAGACACCCCAGTAAGTATGTCGACTTCTGCTACGTTATTTACATAGCTGAAGTGATGTAGATTACATCAGCAGATGATTTTTTTTAAAGGAGCTTTTGGAAAATACAGAGGGGCTTGGCAAATTACACTAAAATTGTCAGGGGTGGACTAAATGGTGCTTGGTCCTGCCGTGAGGGCAGAGGACTCGAACTGATGACCTCTGGAGGCCCCTTCCAGTCCTATAGTTCTGTGAAATCCCAACACAGACGGGTTAGCGGGCAGAGAAGTGGAGCAGCAAAAGGAGCAGGACAATATAGACTGACCACAGGACTCACATTGTTTATCACATGGGTGGCCATCTTAGCTCCCCATGTGCACTGTGGGGCTGAGAGACAGGTTCGATGGGGGGAGGGAGGCATTACAAAGGCATGGTGAAGTGTGCGCATGCTTCTGTGAATGGTGCCATGGACTTCCCCAATGGCACAGAGCAGTCAGGACCTTCGTCACTCAGCTGATCTACAAGATGGCACCAGCAGCGTAGCCGCACCTTCCTCATAAGCCCTCAGTCCAGGCCCGCTGACAGGGCGTAAAAGGGGCAATTTCTGCATGGCCCAGTGATTCAAAATGGCCAGAGCCATCCTTACGTGTCTGCAGAATACAGAGCTGCGTACCTGCGCCGTTTCCTCCTGGATTAGAACTCAAGGTCTTGTATCTGACCTGCAGCTTGATCCGGGGCTGTCCTTAGCCATCCATGGAACATGCAGTTGCATGGGGCACTCAAAAATGTGGGGTCTTAATATCTACCCACCTGCCTCTTCTTATCCCTGCTCTGTGGTTCAGCTTCCTCCAGAGAGGATCTAGTTAACTGACAAGGGACAAAGCCGGCCCGAGCTATTCGCAGAACCTGGGAAAGAGCCGTTCGAGTGGTAATGAAGCCACTTAACAGGCAGTTGCCAACCCCAGGTCTATCCTGCCAGTTGCTGAATTGACTCTGTGGGTGAACGCGACCTTGGCTTAATATTTGCTTTAAAATATTTCCTCAGTGTGTGGCTGAAGATTATAACAGCACGTGGCTAAAACGTCGCCTCCCCCGCCAGCTGCCATCGGGCATCGGGGCACCAGTTTCATAGTGCCGGGTAGGGCCCCATAAATCCTAAGGATGGTCCTGAAAAGGGCCCAGTGCTCCTAGTCACGACTGCTACTGTGGCCGTGGCCATGGGCAGAGCCTCAGGCCCTTTAAATGGCACCGGAGCGCCACCTAGCACAATCCAAGCAGCGCTGAGGGCAATGTGCTCCGGAGAGCGACGAGGCCGCCTCAGGGAGGTTAACCCCAGCCCCGCCCATTATGCCTGAGGCCCCACCCCTTCTGGGCCACCTCCCACTTTATGCTAGGCCTGGTGAGGCTATTGGGTCCAGTGCATACCCAGCTATCGGTGCAGTACTAAACCACAGGGAGGGGCACCACCTACTGTAGGGGTTCCCAACCACTGGTTTGCGGACCAGTGGCGGGCCATGAACCCCTGCCTGCCGGGCTGTGGCACTCTGGCCCTGCCACGCCCACAACTGCTAATTAGCCACACCCACTGGGGAGCGCCGTTCCTTATAAGATGTGCACCTGCGCACACACTAAAAATTCTCCTCCCACTCGCCCATGGTGAGTGGCACTGCAGGCTGCCCTAATGGGACAGCCTCACCACAGCCCTGGTTCCCACTCCGCCGGTGGCCACGTGGCCCTGCCGGTGGGGCTGCGTGGCGGGCAGCTGCCCTGTGTCCTTTCTGTTACGGGCGGTGTGTTCAGGACCAGGGAGTAGAGCCTTCGTGGCTATGAGCGTCCCGGCGTTTATCGGTATTACTGAGGATCAGGTTAGAGGCCCCGGGGAACCGCACTGGGGGTCCATGATATCCGCCCCTCCTCCAGCCTTAGAGCAGCCGTGACTGGAGCAGAGGCTCTCAGCTGGTGGCTGGGAGGCAGCGCAGGGCTAGGTGAGGGGGTGGGGCAGACTCTGGGGGTTCTGTGGGGCTCTGAGGGCAGAAGGCTGGCACTGGGGGGGTTGGATGCAGGGGACTCTGGGACCAGTGGCTGGCACTGGGGGGTAGTGGAGGAGTGCGGGGCTCTAGGGGTTAGGGCTGGCACTGGGGGACTCTGGAGGCCGGAGCTTTTGGCAGACCGGTAACATTTTATTTGCATACACAGTATTTGCATACTGAATATGCAAATGTGCAACTAAACCGTTACCAGTCCACCAAAAGTTTCTGAATGGGTTTGCCAGTCCCTGCTATCAAAACGGTTGGGAACCACTGCCCTACTCTTGGGATAATCACTGAGATTCACGGCTGGTAAATGCAGGACAGGGATTCCCTTGGAGAGGCTGAAGCAATCAAGCTGCATTTGACTTAATACCACGTCTGCCTGTGAGGTTGGTTTTATGTGCTCCCTTTCTCCCAGCTCACCTGGACTCACACTGCTCTGGCTGAGACATTCTGGCTGTGGCAATGCATTGCCATGGCATGGGCAGAGTGCCGTGATGTCAAGTGGAGAAGCAGCAGCTGGAGTAAATTAAGGGCTTGATTCTCATTTAAACAAAGGCCCCTTTTACTCTGCTCTGGCCGTGCAAAGGTAAACGCAATTTACCTTGTGCAACCAGTGTAAAGGGACCTTCATGCAAATCAGAATCAGGTCT